CATGTCTAAACCCTAATCATGGTTAAACCCTAATCTCAAATCACATTATTCTCATGTCTAAACCCTAATCATGTCTAAACCCTAATCATGTCTAAACCCTAATCACATTATTCATGTCTAAACCCTAATTCCCTAATCTCAACTAAATACATTCCCAAATTTCAACCTTAATCCCAAATCTCAATTAAATCCATTCCCAAATCTCAACCATAATTCCCAAATCTCAACCCAAATCCATTCCCAAATCCGAAATTTCATGGCTAATCAAAATTAAAAAAAAAACCACATTTACCTTGGTCGGCGGCGGCGGTCGGAGCGCGCTTGGTCGGCGGCGACGGTGGTCGGAGGGCGCTTGGTCGGCGGCGGCAGTGGTCGACGTCGATGGGTTTGAGGAGCGGGTGAAAGAAGGTGGGGTGAAAGGGTTTGGGTCAAAAAAAGAGGATGAAGTCACTGGTTGATTTTTTACCCCCCGATCGCACGAGACTGTTAGTCCTGTGTTATTCGAAACTGCCTCGAAATACACGGGACTAGCAGTCCCGTATATGTCGTAAAATTTCTTCGACAGCAAAACCGACCCTTTTCAGAAGAAAAGGGTCGGTTTTGCTGAATAAATTTCTAAGAGGTTGATTTTGCTATTTAAACTATGAAAATGGTTGATTTTGAAAATTTGTCCAGAAAGAATTTCTGAAATGTCACTTCCCATTTGTGAGAAATCACTGTTTTAATACATATATTCCAGATTCTAAAAACTGCTGAAACACTTGAGTTTGTAAAATCAATTTAACATGGTAAATCAACTCCAAAAATAATAAAATTTTGAAAAATGTTTATAAACATGTAATAGAACATGTTAGAAAAAGAATTTCTCAATTTGCATTTTTCATTTGTGAAAACTCATTTATTTTGTAAACTGTTAAACAATACGAAATTGTCAAAACTTGATTTTGATAAAATCAATACAAATAAGTTTTGAAACACTTTTTAATAGATTAATAGACTTGAGAAAAAATATAAAATAGTGTAAACAAGTCTTTAATTCATAAACACATTAATTTTCAAATAAATATGATAATATGAAACTAGTATGTATGTTTGTATATTTGTTTCATATTTATTTGATTTAACTTGAAAGCGATAAACAGAAAACGTGTATGTGTGTAATATTTGAGCTTTAAGCATAAACATACGAAGTATAAGATGTAAACTAGAAACAATATACCCAAGCTAAGAGATCTTTGATATGTTCGTCTTGGTTGCGGATGAAGCTTGAACTTGTACTTGACTTGAAATGTAAAGCTTCATTCCGATATTCCTTCCATCCTCCAATGGATATGATCGTGTAAGCGCAAGTCCATCCAACCTCCAACTTCGATGTTTGTCTAGAATACCTAATAAACAAACACAAATACTAGACAAACGATGTTAGAGATTGTTTATTAATCATTAAAATTAGATTAGATAGTAGGTTAATAAACATGTGACCTACACCTAGACCGTCTAACTAGTGCTAGTGCCTGGGTGGTTCCTAGGCTGCTCATCTTTTTTAGCTTTTAGGAATGTTTAAGGGAGCATAGGTTGCACCTTGTAGGCATTGATTGTGATTTTCTGTGTTGCCTTCATGCCCTCCAACCTCATTCAAACTCCTTTAACCTTCAAATATGAACACATCCACTATCTTCTCTGACCTTTAGCAAAACCTTATCGATCACCACGTAGATGAAAGAAATCCGTCTAGATACCAGTCCGGCACCTAATATTTCTATAACATTGATAATTACTATCAATTATTGTAATTAAATATAAAAAAGAAAACCTTCTAGGCTCTAGGCATTGGGTCCAACGCTTAGGCCTCCTAACGCTCTCTATAAACTTGTTATTTATTATTTTGACTATTTAGTATTTAAGTATGCATAGTTTATTGTGGATCTAAGTTTGCTATCTTTTTCTTTTAAATTTATATGAATTTAATATATATTTTTATCAATTATTATAGTTAAATAATTTTAAAAATAGCCAAACGCCTAGGCGTACGCCTAGGCATCTAGGCGCTGGCTCAAACGTCTAGTCCGCTTAGCGCATTCTGTAACATTTGTTACAATTACTTAGTGATAAAAATATCTAAAAGTCACTAAAAATCCTACTCTTAAATTCCTTCATCTTGCGACCACTAGTTAAGGAAATAAAGTCTTAGAGAAGAAGCATAGTAAACAAGCTAGATATTAAGCAAATAACAGTTTTATCAAAAAGTTCGCAATGTCCTCACCAGTCACAACACCAGATAAACACAGAACAAAGCTATGTAAGTCGTGACTATAATAAGTGAAAAGAGAACTAAGAAAGAACACTAAAATATGCTAAAGGTTCTAGATCATACTAGAAATGTTAGAGCAATTATCTTAATGTAAGCAATAAAGCATAAATAGTAAAAAATTTTGTTTATTGTATTTTTCCACGACGTTAATTTTATTAGAATATTCTGTATTATTTGGTTGAGATTTTAAGATGTGTATTTCTTGCTTAAGATTTTTAAGCTGAAATTTGACTTCTTTTTGTTCCTTTTTCAGATCTTAGACAGATGCCTTTTTATTAGTTTGTATTTGTATTTTTAAAGAAGTGGAGTTATTTCTTTTCTTTTTGGTCATCTCAAGTGATTGTGATAGGCTTCTTTAGGAGTATTATTAAACTTAATAGTATATTTAAACCCATTTATATAAAAATGAAGAGCATCATCATCATAGGCAGTTTTTATTAGGTTATCTTTGATAAGTTCTTCAATTTCTCCTTTAAAGGGGGACAGAAGAGTTTCATCCATTTGGATAGGCAAAGTCGCGACTACAGTAAGTAAAAAGAGAACTAAAAACAACACTAAAATACGCTAAAAGTTTTAGATCATACTAGAAATGTTAGAGCAATTATCTCAATGTAAGCAATAAAACATAAATAGTAAAAAGCTTAAAATTAAAGCTGTTAAAAATTAAGCATACAATATTGTAGTAGTTTTTCACTACAAATATCTACAATTGTTTTATTATAGTTCAATCAGTAAGAACAATGGGTGAGTTGTTTTTTACAATATCACCAAGCAGAGATATCATTTTATTGGTTTAGTTAATAGCCTTCAAGATAAAGTTAGAGAATAACTTATGAATTTCAGATGTAAAACCCTTATAGATTTCAAATGGTACAAAGACATTTTTCTTTCTAAAGTTACCAACTATATGATTGTAATAATCCTATTTGGTAAGAGAAATTTATTTTGGATCTTCCGTCCTTATTTGCTGAGAGGGTAAGAGAATCCATTAAAGAACAAAGCAATGGACAAATACCTTATGCTCAAATTCTTTTTCGAGAACTAATTCAAAGAGTAAATACAATTGGTTTAAAACTTTGTAATGACGTTAACATTAAAGGTCAAATAAAAACAAAAGCAACAATCTTCAAATAGTATACCAGCCAATGAAACAAAAGCAGCAATTTACAACTACAGTTGAAATGACAGATAATATGATTGCATACAGTATGCCGTCAATAGTTTTGCATTGGATTCACTTTTGGATACTTAAACATGAAGAAATTATGGTCATTACCTACCTACTCTACAAAGGCTACTTTATAAAGGCTATTCTATCAAGGCTACTTTACAACCTATTTTATGTAGGTTTAAACAAATTTGCTTAAGTGGGTCCTATAAATCATGACAAGCATCTTTGCATAGTATTTTGATAACTCTATAAAAGGAGGAAGTTCATGAAGTGAGGGGGAAACCCATCCCTAGGCTCGCTAGTGTATATCCCCGCTTAGTGATATTGTGAGAAATTACTTACTCCTTATTATTATTGCTTGAACTACAATAAAACAATTGTAGACATCTATAGTAAATAACTACTATAATATTTTATGTTTGGCTCTTATACCAATCGTGGCTAGGACTGTTTTAGCCTTGATATGATAGAGCTAGCTCATGGGCAATACTGTGTAGATAGAGGAGAGGATATAAATACTATCTATAGCTATATCTTCTTTTTCGTTCACATGTATATCAAAAGGAAAACAGTAAAGACGGAAGCAAAAAGAATATACAACAGAAGCTAAAACAAAATGAAGAACTTCAAAGCAAACTAAATAGTAGTATTAACAGGGAGCACACTTACATACTTGAAGGAAAGTAAACTTAAAAACTTACAAACTAGGATCTGGGAGATGAGTTGACCAACACCTGATTAGTAGTACTAGTACGCACTTATCTTATAAACACTCAAAAGAAAACTTGAAAGCAAAACTCACTCAAAACTCAAACTTAAAACTAAAAGAGAAACTAGAGGAGAGAACAAGAGGAATTCTAAAGAGGATCTCACTTCACTCTCCAAAAAGCCTCCCCTAACTTCATGAACTTCCTCTCCTTTTATGGAGTTTTCAAGAAACTATGCAAAGATGTTTGTCATGATTTATGGGACCTACTTGAGCAAATTTGTCAATGCCTACACAAAATAGATTGTAAAGTGGCCTTGGTAGAATAGCCTTGGTAGAGTAGCCTTTGTAGATTTGGTAGGTAAGGACTATAATTTCTTCATGCTTAAGTATCCAAAAGTGGGAATCCAATGCAAAACTATTGACGGCATACTGTATGCAGTCATATCATCTGTCATTTCATTTGTAATTTTAGATTGCTTCTTTTATTTAGCTGGCTGGTATGTTATTTGAAGATTCTTGCTTTTGTTCAACTGTGAATTAAAATTGCGTAAGAGTTAATTATTTTTTAACTTGGAAAATATATCGGTAAAAGTTGATCGACTTGATCATAGATAGGTAAGGAGCAACTTTATGATCTTTATATTGAAACCTAAAGCAAACTAAAAACTTTTGTTATTCATATTCAATCCTTTCAAGGTACTTCTAATGTCTAACGTGGGTAATTTTAGAATTCTATCTTTGTAGAGTTCCTTAAAGTTATGTATTGAACTGACTTTGCTAATGCTTTCATCTTTCCTTTTTTTTTGCAGTGTTGCAAAGCATCTGGAATCTGCAAACACAATGTTTTCATTCATATGGTGGATTATTGGATTCTACTGGGTGTCTGTTGGAGGGGCAGTATTGACCCATGATGCACCTCAACTGTACTGGTGAGCTAATCATTTGTTGAATGTATTTATTTGTGCTTCAGCCAATTCTTTGTCCTGTTATTAATTTTCTTCTGTTCTTTAACATGTTTTTGCAGGCTGTGCATAGTTTTCCTGGCATTTGATGTCTTCTTTGTTGTTTTCTGTGTGGCTCTGGCATGCGTAATTGGTATTGCAGTTTGTTGCTGTCTACCATGCATTATTGCTATACTGTATGCTGTTGCAGACCAGGTAATTCATGCTTAATCACCAGCATGTGCTCACTTTAAAGTATGCTATGAATTTTATGGATATATTATACCTCCTTTGGCGTCATTTCTGGGAAGGTACCAACTATTTAATGCTTATATCTTGCCTTTGTATATTAGCAAGATATCAATACAGGTTTGTTCGCGTTAAAGAACATAATCGGTACTTCTTGCTGGAAGTACAATCTGTTTTAAACTATAAAGCCTGACCTTTGTGGAAGCATGATCCATATATTTCTGGTTTATGTATAGAAGTTTTTTCTCCTGAAGCCATTAATATAGTGTTATTCTCTCCCTACTAGGATATTTACATATGCATCAGATGTACAAGTGGCTGTAAAGGAAGGTCCAAATTTGGGCACCTTCTCATAAATGTCATGTTGAAATGCATGCATCTTTATTTGTGCTTATATGACTAATTGGCCCATAGTTTTATCAGATTCTTCTAGACCATTCTTCTGAGGCTTTTTATTTTATAGACACTTTATATCCATGCCATCAAACTCCACACTATATTGGATTAGTGGTATCATCATTATTTGATGGATTTTGGCTTGTCGAGTGCCATGAGCTATCTACTCTGATGTTTGAGTTTGGATCTTACAAAGACAAAAATAAATAAATATCTTGAAAGTGAAGCCTGTTGGGTGGTTGTAGTCAAGTGCTATCCATTCAATACATCAGAATTGAACTTTGATGGAGCATTCACTTTTAATCATGTAGTGTACCTGCTGGTCAATGTAAGAATGTGGAGTTTTCACTTTTTATTTCTTCCCATAAATGAAAGTATTTGTTATGCCAGTAAAACAGGTGTATAAGCACAACGGTCATAAGGAGATATTTTGTCCTCAAAGAATTATCAAAGTATCCTGCCATCTAAAGAGGTAACTCCAAGCTGAAGTTAGGAGATAATGGTGTTCCCTCCTTTTTATTAGGATGTTCCTTGCATTATATGTATGCCTTGGAGCGTTCGCTAGATTCTGATATAGATCTTTGGGAAAATGGCTTTACGCTATGTTACATTTAGAAATCCAAGTTCCCTCCACCTTTAACTTTCTCCTCAAACTTTCACCCCCAACTAAAGAACCATTCCTCCATCACCTTGTTCCCACATGATATTTTCAAAATTCCTAAACTACTTATCTCTCCATCTTTATTCAATTTTTTCATCTCATCTTTCCCATGAAACCATTGACACAAGAATCATGATTCATCCCCTTAAACACCACCTCTTCTCTCATTGCTGAGTTGTAGTGGAGCACAAACGAACGTGGAGTGGGGGCACAAATGGAGATAGAGGTGAAGGGAGGCGACGCGATGTGATGGAGGACATATAGACGGCATGGGAGAGAGGGGTTTGTTACATTTTACATTTTTTTCATAAAACTGTACTTTTTTTTTCGTAAAACTATACCTTTGTTCCTTAAACTATTATCTTTTACGTTTCCCCTAGTCTAGGCATATTTTATGTGGAGTGAGTAGGTAGGCCTGAAGGATGACAATGATAGAGGAAGCGAGGAGGCGGTGGAGGGGGATGAGAGGTGACAAATGAGGAGAGGCTGACAATGGAAGAAGGCGGCAATGGAAGAGAGAGATAAGAATATGGTCTATAGGTTATGAGTTCATGAGAAGGAGAGAGGAGAGATGACAGGAGGGTGATGATGGTTGGAGGGTGTAAGCATTGTTTAAATTTGAAAGGGAAAAGAAGCTCAACTCTTTATTTTCAAGGGGCTAATGCATTATAGTTGAATCTTGCCGGATTAAATGATTTATTAACTTGTTCGAGTAGAATTTAGAATGACCTATTGATATTTACTATGATAATTATGTGACAATTACTTGATGAACATTAAGATCCAGTATCACTATATTCAAAATACAGTTGATATGAGATAAATCAAAGTGACTTACATCCTCACCACAAACATGATTGCTAATCCCTTAACAAAGAAAATCTTAACAGAATCTTTTATTAAACGTGTAAACTTGATGAGACGTAGGAATATACAAGCCATAATAAATTTCATAAATAATAAAATAAGAATTACTCTCTATGGATAGTGGCAGGATGACAAAAAAAAAAAAAAGCCATAATAAATTTCATAAATAATAAAATAAGAATTACTCTCTATGGATAGTGGCAGGATGAAGAAAACATTTGATCTTATAGATAGTAGGCGAAATATCATTTGGTTGATTTGGCCAAGTGGGAAATATTAGTTTAATTGATCAAATGTGACCAAATCAACCAATGTTAAATATCTTAACAGTCAGATATCTATTGTTAGAATCAAGATTTGTGGGTTGCTTAGAATCAAGATCTGTGGGTTGCTTAGAATCAAGATCTGTGGGTTGACCTATTTGAGACAGAGTTAGGGGTGGAGATGATTAGGGTATTACTTCTGTATATAAGATTGTTCTCTGAGAAAACATAATAACAAAAAGAAAAACCTTGCATCGGAATCTCCAAAAGAATTCCCCATCTTCTTTACCCTAATATTAGAGTCTATCCTTCTATTTTAGTTATTTTTGAACCTCATGCCTAGGTTGTCCCTCCCCTAGAAGCAATCTTCTTGGTTTTGATATTAGATCAAAAAAACCCATGCTTCACTTTCTCTCAGTATTGCTGGAGCACGAGGCTACACGCATAGATTCGACCTTATTTACCATTGTAGCACCGATTCTAATCCACTAGAATTCAACCTGGATTAGCGCTGTCCACCTCGACCTAAATTCATCCAGAGCAGGTCAGGCTTGTTTATTTCTGCTTTAAAAATCTTATCACGACTAGATACCACAAAGCTCGATCGGAATGGGCATGCCTAATGCTCCTAAGCTCGATTTTGACTGTAATCCAGCTAGGCCAATCTAAGCGTCTTAGATAGTTGCTTCTTCCATTAGTGGCACTCAATAGAAATCTCGCTCTAATTCGAATGCGTACCTACACTCGACCCATCTTTTGTAGATGTCAAGTTCATCATAGTTTCGTTTCCTTTCAATTATATTATATGAAAGGTTTAACATGCTACACTTCTGAGTATTGTTAGCTATATATCTGTCTAATACACATTTTAAAATTGAGAATTTAGTTTTGATTCTTTAACGAACGACCATTAAACTTGGTCTATCAAAGTTGAGTAAAAATTGAGAAGTTCAATGGCAGTGGCACTAGCCAAAACATGGTATAAGAAGATATGTTATGCAGTTATACATGACAAACAACATTGATGATGTCATCGAAATAACTACTTTGTCCCATTTGAATATTCCACCGTTGAAGAAAGAAATGGTCAGAGCAATGGAAATCGAAGGACCATTAAGTTAAAAGCCTAATGCTCATGTTCATAGAAGATAATCTAGTCAAACTCTTTGAAACTTATAGAACTTTCATGGACATGTGGAAACAATAGATGAAAAATACGACTGTCTATGAAGTTAACATTTGTCCCCTCTTGCATAAGTCTAATTCTCATTGTATGCAAGAGGTAGACAATATCACAGAACACATCAATAAAAATGTTTGTCATGGCTAATATGGACCTAGCCACTTTTAGGTTAGAAATCCCATAAAGAATGCATGTGATAACCATATTTAAAAATTCCCCCCTTCGACTGTTGTAGTTGCTACACTTTTAAGAATTAATCTTGCCATTAAATTTGTTACCGCTCATGCATGTAATGATATAACAAGACTTGCTATCTAGTAGAAGATAACTAGAGAGAGAGGTGGTGCAACGGGAATCAAATTATGTGTACTAGAGACTCCTATAGAAACTCCGAACCTAGTAAGCTACAACTAAGAGGTCTAAAGTCACAATAGTCCAAGTAGAAGACAATATCTGCGAAGCCCAATATTAAGAATGTGTAATACGCAATGTGGCGTGCAAAATTCCTTTATGCGCACATGCGTAAGGCGCAATGCAATGCGCGTGCTCGATTGAAGCGAGAACACCTTACACACAATTTTTCAAGATAAATAATCAAGCATTCGCATTGCATTACGCAATGCGTAAGGTGCAATGCAATGTGCATCCTCGATTGAAACGAGAACGCACCTGCACATAATTTTTCAAAATAGATAATCAAGCATGAAAGAACATGTTTATGAATTTTCAAATAAAAATGTCAATGAATGATATTTACTATCAAATCACAAAATAATGTCTTTTTTCATAATGTTAGCATGACCAACATTGTAGAAAGTTCAGAATTTTCTAAATCAAGTCAAATCAAGAAGAATATTGAAGAAAAATCAAATAATAAAGGAGAACGAATTAGGGTCCTCAATCGGGCTACTAAAATGGCCTAATGAGTTTATTTTTCTTATTGGGATATGAGTTATCTTTGTGAATACGTAACGAAATGTTAAAGAAAACATATACTAGTCTTTGGCTTGTGTGTGCCATGTGCAAAGCATCCTAGCGTAGGGCATTTGTGAAGCGCAAAAAGGCAGTGTCACCTCTAATGCGGGGTGCTTCGCCACCGTCCTGCATTGCAAGGGGCAGGAGGCACACTTCTTTGAAAACACTAGCAGAGTCTGCTACAATTACGGGACATTTCAAGTCCACCTATCAACATAGGAAAGTAAGAGAAGAAGGATGACCACAAGCACTCAGAACAAGGGAGTACCACAAAGAAAGGATTCGTTGGTGTGATAGAGTGCAACACTATGATGACATATATGGTTGATTAAGTTTTATGGTTATTCCAAATGGTGGCTACCTAATATAAGATGGTGTAAATTGTTGGGATTCTCCCCAGATCTCATAAACGAGGAGCGCATTGTGTTGACTAGGAAGATTGAAAGGCTAGTCAACATTGAAGAATGCAAAGAGTTAAAGTTTGCAGAGCTAATATATAGGAAAATGAAATAATGCGTTAATGAGTATGCTTCTTGAACTTCTCTTTGGAGCCTATACAAGGGTGTGCGTTTATAAAGTCATACTCTTGATGAGAGAGTGGATCCTCTTAGAACTCTTGAGT